ATCCAAGTGCGGCAGGTGCTGGTGTTGCATATGCCTGTACAGACTCCAAAGGGCTTCGCTCTTGGATTAGCCAGCTACTTTTTTCAGTACCTTGAGAGAAGTTAAGGTCTTCACGTGCATGAGAACATTTTGTGTGCATATAACCTAAGTTTTTGACTGAGCTGATAATTTTAACAGTAAAAATCAATTTATCAACTCTTAAAGTATTCTTTGTCCTCACTGACATTCTTTTGCAAACAGAAAAAAAAGATAACTAAAAAAGAAAAAGAAAATGCTCAAATTAATATCAGGACAGATACCATAACACTGGAGTCAGATGATTCTTAGCAGATCATGCAGATATAACTGTTGACACATTGTGAAAGGGCCAGCTCCAAATAAACTGCAGATTTCCTTTCTTGCTATTTTTTTTTTCCCTGGTGATAAATTAGTACTTAAGTTGCACTGAAAAATACTCTGATTTGAATGGCTCCTGATTTCACCTGACAGGACATTGTGGAGGCATTGAATTTACCATCTTGTATCGTAGGTGGAAAACCAGACATTTGATTTTATTCTTTTTTAACCACTACTTTAGTGAACAGTACATTGCTTTTGTATCACTAGTGTTTCTCTAACATCTGTTAACTGCTTTGATTCTTGTACCATGCTATTATCACTTGTGATAGGGCTTTCTTATTATTTTTATTTTTTGGACAGCAGGAAATTGCAGATAAAAGCAGGTAACACTGCCTGTTAGTATTTTTCAACATTATTGAGCAGAATTTCATCTTTAGTTGCATGTAATTTGCTAAAACTGGAAAACTTCATTCCAAGGTATATTTTAGCTTCCTTCACCTTTTATGTGGAAAACTTAACAAGTATATTCACTTTTTTTTAACAGGAGGTGACACTTGATATGTTTCCACTCCACTAGAGGAAAAACTCTAGCTGTTTTCTCTTAGAATGAATAACAGCAGACCACCTGCATCAGATACCTTCTGAAAGCAACTCGAGAATTTTTCTAAGTTTATTTTAGTAAAGTTATTAAACTTTGAATTGGGTTTGAAAGTCCACATTAAGAATGGATAGACTTTTGCACTTAAAAGTATCAGAGATGTTGTATTGAATGTGTTTTAGCACAATCTGGAACGAGCAGAGCTTTGTTTCCGGTTTCAGTAAGCAGATGCTTTACATCAGGTCTAGGATCAAGAACTTGGGCACAGGAAAGTATTTTTAATTTCTGTAGGAGAATTGGAAACTCTTCCACTTTGTCTGCACCCGGTAGGCAAAGTGTAAAAGTGCATGAAAATAAACAAGTGTGGTGGAATTTTGGAATCTGTGGAGGCTTGGGGAGAAAGGACCTTTTTCAATATCAGGATGGGGTGTGAGACTGAGGACTGTGATGCCTCATGCTGGCGTGGAGAACTGTGGTGCTTAAGTCTTGGTGATAGTAAGTAAAATTATGTGGGACTGGGTGGGATGAAGAAGACAATTGGAACATTAACAAAGGTTGTCCTGTACTATCTATATAGATATCCTATCTATTAGGATATGTTAATTAGAGAAGGATTTGGTCCATTTGTCTCGGTATGTTTATTCTGATCTGTGTTGAATTGGAATTGTGTGCTGATAGAGGCTCATGTCTTTAGGATTTCTGCTTCCTTTCTTCCAGAACTTAGAATGACATGTACCAGTGAAGGTCCTGTATGGGGAAATGTCCTGTAACTTTTTTCTGGCCACGTTTATTCTGCGGTTCCTATATAGTATAATCAAATCACTAAAATGTGGTTTTCACAGGCAGTCAGAGCTTTTTTTTTAATGACCATCTGGAGTATGTAAATCTGATTTGCAACTACAAATGTAGCCTATTGAAGCAATGTTTTGAATATGCAAAGAGGTAAAAAGGGAGGGAAAGGAGGGGAAATCTGAAAAATCAAGTTCTAACTGTGCTAAAACCCCCTGTATTTTTAATTTCTAATCTCCTGGCCTGAATTTTCTATTGCATAGTTGAAAAAAATACTCCCATTTCCAAAATGTTGTAAAACTAAATGAAATGTAATCAAATATATTATGATGGTTGCTATAGAAAAGTGCATTTTAAAAATGTAATCATATTTCACATCAGGGATTTTGACTAACAAGCAACAGGATAAAATATGTAGAATCACAAAGAACAGATCAAAAAAAGACCATAGGATGGTGAATGATCTTTGTCAGCAGTATTAACTTGCATGAGGCTGTTGGAAAAACTCCTATGTGCTTTCTGAGACTAAACCACAGTAAAATCTACCTACACCAACGAGTTTCTTTAAGGTTGCTTGGAAAACATTACTTCTAAGACTTCCAAATTTGAGGTATTTGCTTTTCAAAACTGAAGCTAATTTTCCTGTGCAAATTGTAGTAAATAATATAGTGCTTAAAGTTACTCAGCAGGATTTATATTTTATTTACCTTATTCATATTGAGAAATAAAAGACAAGGAGACTAACTAAATGTGCAAAGCTTATTACCTGCCTAAATCATACCTTACTGCAGTGACCACAATTTTATCTGTATTCTAGAAAGTCTATTTTCTAAAGCACGTTTAGAAGCTTTGAGGAAAATAATGTCAGTTCTCCATGCCAGCATGAGGCATCACAGTCCTCAGTCTCACACCCCATCCTGATATTGAAAAATATGGAAATTGAATAGATATCATACACAAATAAACCCCCAACATAAAGCTAAGTGAAAAATGTTTGAAAAGAAGCACTGGTTTGCAAATCTGGTTTCCATTTTGCTCATAACTGTGTGTTTTATACAGTATTTTAATGAAGCACACATGATGAGAGAATGATGAACACATAGGAGAAATCTGAGTGTGTCTAGTAATTCTTAATATCCTTTGACAATACTTGTTGTGTTTACTAACAAACCAGTAGTTTTTCCTGTGAAGAGCCTCGTTAAATATGAGCTTACTCAGTGTATGGTAAAGGGCCCAGAGATTGTAGCAGTTTATTGCAACCTTACTGCAGACGTAGCAACCCCAAGACTCAGTTTAGGAGTTTGTCATTGAAACTGATTTAGTTTTGGCTTTGAGTGTAGTTCATTAATTATTTTGGAAACCTACAAGCCTTTTGGTTGCATCCAATAATGTGATTCACTGTCCCTGCATCAGAGTCTAATATGGGAATTTACTTAGAGGAGGATAGAGTGGAGTTAGTAATAGGGTCCTAGATTATTTTTTCAACTTGTAATTCTCTGCAGTGTTCTGAGTAGACACCCTGTAGCCCCCTGGGGGTGGGAAGGAGATGCGTGAGTTTAGGGTAATGAGAATGTGCCTATGTTGAGGGAATATAGATGGTCCTCAGAGAGTGTCTCTCCCATTCAGGGACAGAATTGTTTCCGTATACTACTACTCTTTCTCAGTTATTTCACCTATTCATTAAATTATTTAGAGAACTAATGACATTTCACAATTCCTCAGATCAAAAATTAATTCTTATTCTCAGTCATGGAGCTAATTATACAAAAAGCTTGTATGTATTGTCCACATGCTCAAATTATGCTGAGTTAACATTTTGGTTTAAAGAAAGCAAGAAAATTTTCACAGGAAAAAAAGTTTATTTTGGTGTGCATTGGTTTTTTATGACTAAGTATAAACTCGATACTAGGTCAATTGTCTCTTTACTATTATAATGCAGTTTTGAAAAGGGGAAAACAGCCCACAAACAGCAGACCTTGAAAAGTCCAATTTGTTGTGTCAGACATGACTGGCTACTGCAGTGACGCCATCGGCAGAGGGAGCAGCACATGGAGAGGCAGCAGACAGTTTTGAATTAGGTGTGCACAGGCCGAACTAGGACTTTGAATGCTGCTACCAGTGGTAGAAGTTAAAGCAGTGGGTGGGTGAAAAGTCTCCAAGTGAGCTATTGTAGACTTTGCTTAAGAATCATTAACTAAATCCCTGTTTTCGTGGGAGCTTCAGCTGAAGTCACGTGATGTGATGTAAACCAAGATCATTACCTATCAGTGCAAACATATGGCAAAGTCTGCCCATGTTATTACTTATCTCGAAGCGCCCAAGGGGGCTGTGACATTTCAAGCAAAGCCCATTGGTGAGGAAGTTTCTAAGTGAGCCTTCTTAAAGAAGCACTTCCTTTTTAATCATAGTACTCCGTGGGAAAGGATATCAAGCAGTGTT